AGCTTTGATCCGTTAAACCGAGAGTTTTATTAGACATCCGCTATACCGAGGTCCGCTATACCGAGACTTACTGTGTAGTTTGAATAAAACGAATAAACAAATTGTTCGAATGACAACAATTCGAATAATAAAACGAATAAACTAAATAAAATGAATAATTCAAGCAAAACGAATGATACAATTCGAATGATAAACAAATGATGTCAGTTCGAATGATAATAATAAACGAATGATGTCAATTCGAATAATAATGATAAACGAATGATGTCAATTCGAATAATAATGATAAACAAATGATGTCAATTCGAATAATAATAATAAACGAATGATATCAATTCGAATGATAAACGAATGATGTCAATTCGAATGATAAACGAATGATGTCAATTCGAATGATAATAATGATAATAAATGAATGATGTCAATTCGAATGATAATAATGATAATAAATGAATGATGTCAATTCGAATAATAATAATAATAAAACGAATGGTGTCAATTCGAATAATAAACGAATGATAGATAACAATTCGAATAATAGCAATAAACGAATGATGACAATTCAAATAATAAACGAACGATAGATAACAATTCGAATAATAAATGAATGATAGATAACAATTCGGATAATAAATGAATGATAACTATTCAAATAATAAACGAATGATAACTATTCAAATAATAAACGAATGATACACAATTCAAATAATAAACAAGTGATAAAAATTCGAATAATAAACGAGTGATAAAAATTTGAATAATAAACGAATGTTACAATTCAAACAAACGAATGATTTGAATAACTCAAACAAATGAATGATACAATTCAAATAAATAAATGATTTGAATAATTCAAACAAAAATTTGTATTACAAATAGAAACTCTGTTCTATTGCAGAGTCATCAAATCTAACACAACTACAATACTTGAGGTGTCCCTACAAGCAATATAGTAAAACCAATAAAACTAATAATTAAATGTTGGCCAAACCATTAATCATCAGAAAGGGTTATGAATCAATTAATGAAAGTGTCATTATTGAAAAATCAATTGTTTTTAAATTTTTTTTTCACTGAAGGAGATTTCAAGCATATTTATACTTCTTGAAGTATTACAAATAACATAACTTTTTACATGATTTTGTCCAATAAAATAAAATAAATGAATGATAACTAATTGACAATTACTAAATTAAATGTCAAAAATGTGTCATTGATGATTAAATGATACCTGATGAAATGTTTTTTGTCATAATTAATTAAAAATAAAATTATATTCATTGAAGTGTCAGATGGTAATCAGCTTCAATTTGTAAATGTTAACTCAAGTGTTGAGAATAATTTGTCTTCCTTGAAATATTATTAAAAGAAAAATATGGCAATGTGGCTCTGGACACATTTGTATTGTACCAATTCCATTCAATTCATTAATGTCATAGAAAACTTTGATGAACTTTCTTTGAAGTCAACGCAGCTTTAATAGGGAAGGCTTCTGTTTTTTGCAGGAAAATCAAATAATTAGCTGAATAAATCCCGAACTAGAATAAATATGCTATTGATCCAGAATTAAAAGGGCACAACAATCATGATTGTTATATTGTAGTTCTACTCTAAACCTAGAAACATTATCATCAAATCCATCATCTTTAAATACTGTTAGTTCTCAAACCCATACTAAAAAATAAATAATTTATGAGAAGGAAGTAAAAAAAGGAGTATTGCTTGAAAGTATTTCTTTAAATGAAACCTCATCAGAAGCTCAAGATGTTCAAAATCTTAATGATGAATCTAACTCATTACAGTAAGGATTACTTGTCATCACCACTCCTCTCATCACTTTCAATGTCAATTTTCTTGTTTAGCAAGTGCATCAGTTTCACAGATCTTAGATGGTA